GAGAAGGCTATCAACCCGTCACGGAATCATTCCGTGAGAGTCTTTAGTATTTGAGCTAAAAACTCTCTCACGGAATGATTCCGTGACGGGATGATAGCTTTTTCCATATATATATAGTTTATAAGAAAGAGAAAGAATGAGTAGGGACTCCATAGGAAAAAAAATTAGGGACTGAATGACAAAATCAAAAAGGGAGTGGGAATTTAGGCTGTGTTTGGTAAGCCAAATAAGCTAGCTTATAGCTTATTTGGCTAGCTTATAAGCTTTCTGTATTCAAAAAAGTCTCGTTTGGTAAGACGAGCTTTTTTAAAAAGCTCGAGCTTATTTGATAAGCTTCTTTAGGTAGCTTTTCAAATAAGCTAGTTGAATTTTTTATTCCAGCTAGCTTATCAGCTAATTTTACCAAACACTTTTATCATATAAGCTAACTTTTTAGCTATAAGTCATAAGGTATAAGCTATAAGCTAAAAAATTACTGATAAGCTATAAGCTAGCTTATCAGCTAGTTTTACCAAACATAGCCTTATTGGAAAAAAAGTTGTTAATTAGTGGTTTGATAAGCTATGGGACAAAAAATTATTTTTGTTAATAACTTATTCACCAATTAACAATTTAAAAAATGCAAAGTAATAAAATTTGATATGCAACTTTGTCAAAAACAATAAGTAAATTGGGTTTAACCACAATATTGTTTCAGTGCCAATACATATTAGGTATTTTTTATTTAATTAAAATGTAATTCTAACCGAACCGCCAAAAGTACATCCAATGACCACGCTTAGAGCCACTAGACGTAATAAAATGTGCAGAATGAGGAAAAAAACCCTAGCTGCCATGTTTTCTCTGGCAAGTGGCAAGCATGCTTGAAAAACTTTTACTGTTTGGCCCATGTCCTTGTATTATTGAAAAGCAAAAGTTGAGGCCAAATGACCTTATGCCAGTTGCATGCAAATCACATGTTTTTTTTTTAAACCCTAGCTTAATTGACGTGTGTTTTCTTGATTGATGATAAATGTATACTGCTTGAGAACATTAGACATGAATTTAGGTTGGAAAAAAACTTGCATAGCCCTACCCATGGAAATAAAAGAAAACTGGAAAGGAGTCGTAATTAAAAGGGCTACCCGGTGAACGATTAATTATATTTGAAATAGGGTTACGAATTCAACCTGTAGGTTTTTTTGTGTCTATAATGAAAAACCCAAGACAATTAACCAATTAAGCTAACTTTCTATATATGTTCCCTGTTTGAATGAGTTGGTTTTTAGGGACAACACTAGCTAAAACCAAAACTAATGTAATAGAATTGATGCTTCTTTTTTCTCTGTTAACAAAAATAATAAATCTTTGTTTTAGCTAAGTGATGAGTTGTGTTATGGCACTTGTAGATAAATTGCATTTCACCACATAAAATTTAGGTCACCAGCAGGAATTTGCCACGTGGGATCCCGCGTTATCTTCTTCTTCTTCTTCTGTTGTGTATCGTAAGGCCTACAGTACTCACGCATTTGGTTTTTAACACATGTTAATATGAACTCAATAATTGATCGACTTTTTCGGCTATAAATACCGCAACACATTTGAGCTGAGGTCCTCACCAAGACTCATCTAAAAAAAAAACTTAATCATGAATAATAAATCATATAGTAGTTGTAAGATGGTTGAGTGGCGAGCTTTGTCGAGTTTAGTAATAGTTGGGTGTTTGAGCTTCGGGTTTGGTTGCAATGGTATTCGTGTGAGTGAGGAAGGCACGGTTTCTATTGGTTCGGAAAAACCTATTGCTGAGACTGATGACCGTTTCATATGTATGACTATCGACTTATGGCCACCGAGCAAATGTGACTATGGGGTTTGTAGCTGGGGTGAAGCCTCACTGCTAACCGTTGTACGTATAATAATTATTATTATTATGCATGCTATATATCATCATTAATACACATTAACTGTCTGTCGACTCTTCTTACTTACACAGGACCTCGACAATCCAATACTCAACAATGCCGTTAAAGGTTAATTTGAGCTTTTTTAATTTATTTTGTTTCAATTTAATAATCCAAGCTGATCAAATAATTCATGACTTGGAATTCTAATTTTTTTTTTTTTTTTTNAGCAGCATTTTCACCTTTAAGGATAAGAATGGGAGGCTCTCTGCAAGACAGATTGACCTACAAAACTCCTTCGAATCCCTCCCCTTCATGCCCTCATTTCACCTTCAACACTTCTTATTTGTATAACTTCACTGAGGGATGCTTGTCATTGGATAGATGGGATCAAGTTAATTCCTTCCTCAATCGAACAGGGTGAAATATTGCGTCGTATTTATTTATTAATTCGAAACGAATTAAAACATGTATAACGTTTTAATTTTTTTAAAATTTTTTTTGTTCTGTTAATTATTCAGGGCTATCGCGATTTTCGGCCTGAATGCCCTACATGGAAAGGTAGTATTGCCGCATCCGGGACCTCTTGGCCCTTTTAACACGACGGACGCCATCGGTTCTTGGGACCCCACCATTTCCGAAGAACTTATTCGTTATACTCATGAAGAGAAAGGTTATTACTTGTATGGTTGGAGTCTTGGTAAGAAATTAAGTCTCTCAAAGTACTCTATTATATATATGGACTGGTGATTATATATATATATAGAGAGAGAGAGACTAATTAAAGATATCATTTTTCTTTTTTTTTCTTAAAAAAAAAAAAGGGAATGAATTGGGAGGATTACCAGTATTAGGAGTGGAAGTGACACCAGAACAATATGCAGCGGATATGGCTCGTCTTGAAGAGGTATTAAAAAGCATTTACGTGGGGACTGATATTCCGGCCTTGATAGCCCCTGCAGGCGTATACGAATATGAATGGTTCAAGAGATACATAACCAATACCACTCGACCACCGGGCGTAATCACCCACCACATGTACCCTATCGGCTCAGGTAATTAATTAATTAAATAACTAATAATATATATCTTGATCAGATAGATGTTGTAAGGAAATAAAATGATTATTTTAATTTTATTTATTTTTTTAATTCCGTAGGGTTCGACGATAATCTCAAGGAAAGAATCCTGGATGCAAGTGTTCTTGATTGTCAAAATATGGTAAAACAAGCAACACAGCAATGAAAAGCAAGAGAAACTCCATACTCAGAATAGGTTTTTGTTCATTAATTTCATGCTGCAACAATGGCAGTGGTTTACATATTTATAGCAGCCTACAAGACTAGCTAGGGTAAAGAATTCACCTATGATTTACCTAAGAGGGAAAAAGCCATACACACATCAATACAAAGGACAAAACCGTTCACTCTCCCTCACAGTGCATGGTTGTCTTCATGCACACGTCAGAATATGGTTTAATGGCTGAGATCTTCTTAGCTAATGGATTCGGATCTGAGGGCTGAGATGATTGCTTGGTACATGAAGCTTGTGTCCTTTCTTTGTGCTTGCCATCATCATCATGATCAAGGGCTAAGATTGAAACAGCTGGACAGAATTGATTTCCAACATTCCCCCTCAATTCGAAACCGGGTTTTTGAGAAATTTTTAATTTGTCCCTTAACCTGGTGAAGAATTGCATGCTCAACGGTTTGGTGAAAATGTCAGCTATTTGATCAACTGAAGGAACATGCTGAACTTGTAAGCTTCCACATGCTATCTGCTGTCTAACAAAGTGTAAGTCAATTTCAATGTGTTTTGTCCTAGCATGCTGAACAGGATTAGAAGCCAAAGCAATTGTACTCATGTTATCCACCCATACACAAGCTGGTCTTCTAATGGATATTGACAACTCCTTCATTAGTGATTGCAGCCACATAATTTCTGCTGTGAGATGAGCAAGACTTCTGTATTCTGATTCAGTAGAGGATCTTGATACACTGGTTTGCTTTTTTGATTTCCATGAAACAAGATTTTCACCCAGGAACACACAAAATCCAGTAGTGGATTTCCTATCATCCAAGTCACTTGCCCAATCCGAGTCAGAGAAGCCTATGATATTAAGATGACTTGATTTATTGATTTGAAGCCCAAAATCCAATGTACCACTTAGATATCTAAGAATTCTTTTAACTGCCTTCCAGTGATCATCAAGAGGAGCTGACATGAATTGACTGACCTTATTGACACTAAAGGTGATTTCAGGTCTTGTAATGGTCACATATTGAAGGCCTCCAACAATGCTTCTGTAGAGAGTGCTTTGATCAATGGGATTCCCTTTTGATTTTGACAACTGGAGAGATGAAATCATGGGAGTTCCTGTCCCTTTTGCTCCTGACATACCTGCTCTAGTAAGAAGCTCTTTGACATAGCTGCCTTGGTTTAGATGCAAGCCTGAAGATGTTCTTGTGACTTCAATACCAAGAAAATGTTGTATTGGTCCTAGATCCTTTAGGGAGAAAAACCTTCCAAGATGTTTGATTACATGATTGATCTCGAGTTCAGAGTTGCCTGTGATTAGAATATCATCTACATAGACAAGAAGATAAGTACAGGCATGAGGCTGAATTTTTAAGAACAATGAGCTGTCTGATTGAGTATCTGTGAATCCTAGTTGAAAAAGAACATTCTTCATTGTGTCAAACCAGGCCCTAGAGGCCTGCTTCAAGCCATAGAGAGCTTTAGAGAGTTTGCATACCATGTGTTCATTCCCTCTCTCAAAACCAACGGGCTGCCTCATATAAATGTCCTCAGATAAAGTGCCATGAAGAAAAGCATTGTTGATGTCCAAATGCTTTACTTCCCAAGAGTTTGTGACAGCCAAGGAAAGAATGACCCTTATGGTGACAGGCTTGACAACAGGACTAAAAGTCTCAAAGAAGTCCAAACCAGCTGATTGAGAAAACCCCTGAGCAACAAGTCTTGCTTTCAATCTTGAGATTTTTCCATCTGCATCTTTCTTGACCTTAAAAACCCATTTGCAGCCAATCAGATTCTTACCTGCTGGCAATGTGGTTAAGGTCCAGGTACCATTAGATAGCAGAGCTTTGTATTCTTCCACCATGGCAGCTTTCCACTGAGGGGACTGAAGAGCAGCTTCAATGGTAGCAGGTTCAGTGATGTCCCCCTTATGAAGAGTGTATAGTTTGGGCTTGTAAATACCTGCTTTAGATCTAGTAATCATGTGATGAGTAGGGTGAGAAACAGTTGTATAATCAAATGAACCATGTGAAACAGGAGATGCATTGCTCAATCTTGGTAACTGGACAAAAATTGGTACAGTGGAATTGGTATCAGATGAATGAGAAGTGTTTGCAGCACTATGTGGTGTGGAAGGCATAGGAGAAGAATTATGTGGTGAAGAGGGGTTGTGAGATGAACCAGGTGGTTGAGGTTTTCTATGAGGGTCAATTGAAACAATAGGCAAAGGAGAGGTGCTGAAGTGGCTAGAAGTCATAGGTTGAGATTGTAAAACTGTGGTGTCTTGAAAAGGAAATTTTGTCTCATCAAAAATCACATCTCTGGACAATATAACTCTACCATCAGGGAGAAAAATTTTATAGCCTTTATACTGATTGCTATAACCAATGAAGGTACCTGCCATAGATCTAAATTGCAACTTATGTTTGTTAAAAGGTCTAAGGACAGGAAAAGCAAGGCATCCAAAAATTTTCAGTCTTTTGTAATCAGGTTTGTGGTCATAGAGAAGTTCAACTGGGGATTTATAATCAAGGCCTTTAGTAGGAAGTCTGTTGATAATGTACACAGAAGATATAAATGCATCATCCCAAAAATAAGAAGGTAAACCACTTTGAGCAAGAAAGGAAAGCCCAGTTTCAACAATATGTCTATGCTTTCTTTCAGCAACTCCATTTTGCTGTGGAGTGTAAGGACAAGACACTCTATGGATGATCCCATTTTCTTGAAGATAAGTGGTTAAGGCTCTATATTCACCTCCCCAATCAGTTTGAAGGATTTTAAGAGTAGTGTTTAACTGGTTTTCAGCAAGACTTTTGAAATGAAGAAAAGCTTGCTTTACTTCAGACTTTTGTTTAAGCAAGTATATCCAGGTGTGTTTGCTGAATTGATCAATGAAAGTTACATAGTAATGAAAACCATTTCTTGACTTAATGGGTGCAGGTCCCCATAAGTCTGAGTGCACAAGCTCAAGGGGTTTTTGATAAACAGTTTCAGAATTAGCAAAAGGAAATCTGTGAATTTTAGACAAAGCACAAGAAGAACAAACAGCATCTCTTTTCATTTCATAAGCAAGGTTACAACTTCTGAGAGCTTTAAGAACAACATCATAACTGGAATGCCCTAACCTCTGATGCCAAACATCTAAGCTAGGAACATTCTTTAGGGAAATAGATAAAACAGTAGAATTGAAAGGTTGATGAAAGCTTCTAGTGGATTGATCTGGTTTCCTCTTATTCTTGGTGGGTTGAAGCTTGAACTGATAAAGGCCATCCCTAAGAACTCCCTTGAGTAAAATTTCCTGAGTTACTTGATCCTTGACAAGACAAAACAAAGGATGGAATTCAAAATAGACATTGTTATCATGGGCAAATTGTGATACACTTATGAGGTTTTTAGTCACTGAAGGTATATGAAGAAGATTTTTGAGAATGAAAGCCTTTGAGTTGGATTTAAAATGACTGTTACCATAATGAGCAATGCACAAACCTGCTCCATTAGCCATCTGAACTTTGCTGTTTCCAAAATACTCAGTAGGTGCTTGAATGATGCTGAGGTCATTTGACACATGGTTTGATGCACCAGTGTCAGGATACCAATTCATCTCAGAGGTTAAATCCTGAACTGAGGCTGTTGAGCTGGGAGCTTGCATGACATTGAGCACAGGATTTTGATGGTGTCTTGCCATGTTGTTCTGGTTCATGTTGGACTGGTTTTGAGCATTGTTGGAGCCATAGTTTTGATCAAATCTGTACCAACATCTATCAGCTGTATGACCTGCAACATGACACACTTGACAAATGGGCTTGTTTGAGCCATATCTTCCTCCTCTTCCTCTGAAACCACCACCTCGGCCATTTCTATTTCCTCTTCCTCGAAAGTTTGCATTGTTACCTCTGAAGTTGGTGAACCTTCCTTGTGGAGATTGTGTTACAGCATTAAGAGTGGGTTGAGAACCTTCATTGTTGAAGGTAGCTGTGTTGGTGGTTTCAAGTCTTGACTCATAGCTGAGAAGGAGAGCTTCAACATCTCCTTTGGCAAAAACTTCTGGCCTTGAGGTCACATTGACCATGACTGGGTTATATTCTGTACCCAACCCAGCTAGTATGTGAAGGATCTGGTCTGAGGGAGAGACAATGCTTCCAGTAGATGCAAGAACATCGAAGCATGACTTCATTTTGTTGAGATATTCTCTCATGGACATGCCTCCTTTCTTTAAAGTTTGAAGCTGCAGCTTGTACTGCATCTGTTTTGCCAAGGTTTGGCTTGAGAAATTGGTTTCAAGAGATTTCCATATCTCATGTGATGAGTTGAGCCCAACAGTGAGGATAAGAATGCTCTCTGACAGAGATGAGAGAAGCCATGAAGCTAGGAGTTGATCCTGCCTTGTCCAGCTCAAGAACTCTGGATTTATGACCTCTTGGTTGCTGTCATTAAGGATGAATTTCGAAGGAGCTTTCTTCTCTCCTGTGATGAAGTCCTCTAGGCCATAGCCTCTGATGGTAGTTGAGACTTGTTGCTTCCAAATGAGATAATTTGTCTCATCGAGCTTAGTGGTGACCAGTTGGTTTTGTGGCTGTATAATCTGGATCTGAGGGTTGGTAGTATTTCCTCTATTTTCAGATTCAAAATCCGAATGTTGAGACATGTTGGATTAATTTGGAGATATGTGTTTAAGGAAAAGGAGTGTGGCTCAGAGACAGGTCAAAACCTGCTCTGATACCATGTCAAAATATGGTAAAACAAGCAACACAGCAATGAAAAGCAAGAGAAACTCCATACTCAGAATAGGTTTTTGTTCATTAATTTCATGCTGCAACAATGGCAGTGGTTTACATATTTATAGCAGCCTACAAGACTAGCTAGGGTAAAGAATTCACCTATGATTTACCTAAGAGGGAAAAAGCCATACACACATCAATACAAAGGACAAAACCGTTCACTCTCCCTCACAGTGCATGGTTGTCTTCATGCACACGTCAGAATATGGTTTAATGGCTGAGATCTTCTTAGCTAATGGATTCGGATCTGAGGGCTGAGATGATTGCTTGGTACATGAAGCTTGTGTCCTTTCTTTGTGCTTGCCATCATCATCATGATCAAGGGCTAAGATTGAAACAGCTGGACAGAATTGATTTCCAACATTGATGAGTCGGAGGGAGTGTTCAGAGAACTTCGCGACCTTCTCAAGCTATCCCCGACAAAGACGGTTGCTTGGATTGGAGAGGCCGGAGGCGTATTCAACAGCGGTCGTGATGGTGTCACTAACACCTTCCTCTTCAGTTTCTGGTAAATGTTGTTATGATTTTCCATGTCCCGTAATTTGTTTAGTTTAATGTATTTGGACACGATCGAACGGACTAACTAAAACAAGATTTTTATTTTTCTTTTCGAACGAACGAAAATATATATATATATATAGGTCTTTGGACCACATGGCGATGGCAGCTGCTTACGACACCAAGGTGTATTGCAGGCAGACTTTGACCGGCGGTAACTATGCTTTGCTTGACACCACCACCTTTCTTCCCAATCCAGATTACTACAGGTTCACATTTTTATATTCATTCATATATATATAATTAGATGATGTCCATATATAGACATATCATATAATTTTTAAGTGGAGTACTTTTGGATCTATCTCTCTCTATATATATATATGATTGAACTTTGATTAATTTCGATTCACTTAATTAGTTGCTCACATTTTGCACGCAGCGCACTTCTTTGGGACCGTTTAATGGGAAGTCGCGTACTGTTGACAAGTTATAAAGGGAGTAGGGACCTCCGTGCGTACGCCCATTGTGCAAAAAAATCCGTACGTGTATATATATATATATATATATATATATATTCCGCAAAATATATAGTTCGTAATTAATTCTTCTTTCTTTGTGTTGGGGAAATATATTAACTTGCTTATTTTGCAGGACGGAATTATTATACTTCTCATAAACCTCAGCGGCAGTACCATAGTGAAGACCAAGGTTGACCTGCAGGCTTATGGACTCAAAGAGTACTCTTATCGCGAACTAGTGTACAGAGAAGAATACCACCTCAGCCCAATGGATGGGGACTTGCAAAGCCGGACTGTTTTGCTTAACGGGAGGCCACTATTTGTCAGCCCAAGCGGTGCTATACCTGCTCTCAGGCCCAAGAAAGTAGCAGGCTCCAAGCCCATAACCGTTAATCCGAATACCATTGTATTCGTCCACATTCCTCATCTTATTATCCCTGCTTGCACTGTTCCAGAACTAGGCGGCGCCTTTGTTCGTGATATGTGAACCGTTCGTATTGCTTGGAACAGGAAACGGTGCGAAGCTAGCTAGCTTGTGTACCATATGTTGTACACAAGCTGTTTGTATTAATTTCTGGAATAAAATGGCCGTTTCCGTTTCGTATGTCCCAATTACTATATGTATGTACAGCCGAAACAGATATTAATTGATGTGAAAACCATGGCCGGGACTAGCCGGTTGGACTGGGTACCGGTCGCCGGACAAATCCAATCTTTTTCAACAAAAATGGATCAAAAATCGGCCGGTCAAATTTAAATATTTTAAACATGCATAAATTTATATCAATTAGTTTATAAATTTGTTTGAATTATCTAAAATATTTAATAATGATTTTTTATGTATAATGGATTAAAGTAACATATATAGTCTGAGAGTTTATAATAATTCAATTCAACTGTTGCTCAAAATTAATAAACCGTCGAATTTGTAGGAATAACGGTTGGATTAAAAAAAAAAACCTTGTGTGGAACTATCTATCTAGTTTGAAGGCTGAAGCAACTCTTTCTTTAGCGGAAAGTATATGGTAAAATATCTGGTTCAGCCTAGATAGCCTTCGCTTTTCCAAAACCACAAATCGAGTTAGTTTAGTTAAATTAAAAATGGGTAAATTGTTTTATAAGGTTCCATTTTTATTTTTTGAGGGAATTAATTAAATTGAACTAATTCGGGAATTCCCTAGATACTCGTCGGCCGCCGCTAGCGCCCACTGCCCTATTATTCCCTGCCGCTAAAAAAAATAAATAAAAAATAATAATAATAACGGCGGCCCTCAGATCGGCAGTGTCGCTTTCTTTTTTCAGCCTGCGGTGTGCGTTAGTGTAAACTAAAGAGATTTCATCGTCTTAAAGAAAGAATTTGGAGAATTTTTCCTGATTACTATTTCACCATTAACATCCAAAAAGAAGAACCAATAGTGGTTCTTATATCCAGCTCGTAGGTGAGCTTGCGGCTCATGCATCACACGTGAATAGTGCATGGCCAATAGCAAACCGCCACGTTGTAAAGTTGCTTACAACTAAAATAACAAATGGAAAAGAAAATGCGAGTTTATAGTCTGTAGCAACTAAGGGCAGAAAAGTAAATCCGACATATTAAAAGATCAAACATATTAAAAGTAAGAATTCGACTTCATATAGTTATGCATGAGTCCACTTATTAAAATGAGTAAATGATATCTCAATCATAATAATTATATATATTATTTTCTCCACCTTATATTATATCTTAAGGTTTAAATAAATCGAAGATAATTTATGATAAAGTTGATTATATAGTTGGCTAGATGAACAAAGACACATATAGTTATGCATGATTTATTTTAATTGCTTATTCAAACATAGTAATAATTTTGCATGTCTAAAATAAAATAGTGTTAAAAAGAATGTTGGCTTTGTATGTCGTCTTTCTTTTATGGTAATAATTATGATTTAGTACGAATAACCGATTCTTGCATTTTGAATACTCTATGGCGATGTATGATGGCAATTTTTTTTTTTTTTTAACAATGGCGAGTGGGCTAGGGTTGAGGAGCGTGGTTCGATCTCTCCGTTTCTCTCTTCTTTTGGTATGCATGAAGGGGAAGACCGACACTCTCGGATTTTGGATTTGGGCCAGTGCTGATGGTCGCGTTCAGGGTGGCGGGTTGTGGGTTGGGGTTTGGCTACTGTTCCTCTGGCTTTGGGTCGGCTCTATCCTAGGAGGGGTTCGAAGTTCGGGACTCGTCTTTTGTTAGGCGTTTCGACAGTGGCGAGTGGTGTTCTGGATTTCGGGTCAAGCTGTGGGAAGGTTGGTCCTTATTTCGCTGGTGCCTTGTGTTGGGCTCGGTTATTCTGCTGAGAAAGGGCTGTGTTTGTTAGTTATGTTAATTTAGTGTTTGTTTGTTTTAATTTGTTTTGTTTTGTTCGTTGTTGTCTAGGATAGTGTTTTTGGTTTGGGTTGTTGCCTCTGTGCGCTAGAGTAGGAGTCGGTATTATTCTTTTGGGATCAGCTCCTTCTCTTGTTGGGAGCTTTGTTTTTCTTAGTGTTTATAATGTTTATTGTTTCGTGAGTCTTGCTTTTTGGTTTCTAGCGTTGCTAGTATCGGGATTCTAGGCGGTCGTCAGACCTGTCCTCCCAGTTTATGCAGCCTTTGGTTGTATTATTCACTAGGGGTTGTTTCTTTGCACATTTGTGCGTTTTGTTATATAATATTTTCTGTCGTTTTGAGAAAAAAAAATAGTAATAGAAATATAACTAAATTATTTTATATTTTAGATTTTCATTAAAGTTGTAAAATTGGAGTTGAGGTAAGTCCATCTATCACCTCACCTGCAATATGAGTTATTATTTTAGATTCTTTATATTTATATGAGTAATGGATATATTATTGTTAGTGATGTTATGTATGTGATTATTTTTATTATGTTGACAAAAGAATGGTATCAACTAAATAGTTTTCAGTTGCTCTATTGTGATTCTGCGGCAAGCCCGATTTCGTTGGAGTTGTGCGCAATAATTAATACCCGAGTCCTAAAGAGACATTAATGCTTTGATATAAATCAAATGAGTTTTGATTGGTTTTAATAAATAATACTTAAATAAAATAACCAAAGTTGATTTGATCTGAATGAAAGAGATGGGTGATTAAAAGTGATATGAAGTCAAAATTTTGAGAGTTAATAAATAGTGGATTAAAGTTTTTGTGATGTGTGGGGATGATTGATTGTTAGTATTTAATTATATTGATAATATCGAAGAGAGTTTGGTTGAATTAAATTTGAATTAGATTTTAAGTTAAAAAAATAGGGCACACTGCGAGAGCTTTTCCACGACCGGCGAGACGCAACCCCAGGGCAGCCAAGGCCCGACACTCGCAGCAAACTCGTGTTTGCGACCCGCGAAAGGCGCCCGTGAGGCCATTTTCCACTCCAAACTCGCTGCGAAATGGATTTCGAGACCGGTGAACTGCAGAATCACTTAATGCGTGTGAGAGAAATGTGTGTCTTTTGTGTGGCACTATAAGTACATTTAGTCCTTTGTATTTGGGACGTATAGATTTCATTTTTCATTTTTTCCACTTTAGGAGTTGCTCTTTTTTTTTTCAGCTTTCTCTCTATTTTTCTTTAGAGCTCTATGACATCATTTTACGGCGAGTTTTCCAACATTTTTGTTTTTGTTCAAGTTTCAAACTTTTGAATCCGAATCTCGTCTAGCACGCAATAGAAGATTGGGCATTTAACTCTAAACCTCATTACTTCATTTTTGCCTCATTTTTACTATGATGCTTTTCAAAGTAAATTTGGGTGTTTGCTTGATGGAGGATGGAAAGTTTGGAGATTATTGTTTTTGTTGCTTGCCTAAGTGATTGTATGGATTAATTACTTGCTTATCTAGTTAAGGGTTAAGACTTTAATTAAACCTTAATCACTTAGGTTAGAAGGCTAGTATTAATTATCTAGGGCTTAGGGTTTGCATATTTATCTTCGTTGCTTGCATCCTTGTTTCGATGGCATAAAGACTCCGGTAGTATTAATTTCCATACTCTCTCGTTTAGCTCTCGTTTTGATTGTTGCTTTCAATCGCTCTTGATTCCTAGTTTAGCTTAGCATTAATTCATCCAGTCTTGTTTTCTCGTTTTGTATTTTGGACAATTGATTAGCGAACAAAGCTCCGAATAGTCTTCATTTGGCAACGACCCGAGCCCGGGTAGCTCGGTTACCATCTATCCCAAATTACTATTCAACAAGTTGTATATTTTTATGTTACTAGTAAAGTGCACGTGCGATGCACGTGGTGGCGAATGATTTTTTCCGATTAAGTTTAGTAAGATGAATTAAACATGTGATTGCATTGCAAGAACAAAATAAAATGTAGAACAAGTAAACTCCTAATGTATTTTTTTATTTTAAAATAACATAATGATGTCGTGATATAAAAAAATTTATACAACATATAAAAAAAAAAAAAAAAAAAAAAACTAAATAACTAAAGAATGATCTAATGTATATTATAGTTGCATGAGTTCTTTTATTGATTTATGTTAGATTCAAGAGTGATTTTCTTTCATTATAGTTTTAACATTCTAATAAGAAACATCCATACTCTCGTTGGAGCTTTACACATCGATAGCATTACAAAATTTATCTTAATTAATTTAGCAAAACGTTTGTTTTATTCAACACTTAGAAATATTTTAGCCAAACATATAGTCAAACTTCATGATTGTATGATTATTATAAGGTATTTCTAGTAATTGTTCATAAATATCTCTGTGAAATAACCAACTGTGTCATTAAAATTCTTGATATTTTTTTAGTCATTGTATAAACTGCTATATTACTCTCTCTCTCTCTCTCTCTCTCTCTCCATGTAGACAAATTGGTACCTACCCCATGAGGTGTGGACGAATTTTATCTCAAAACAAAAGTTGACTTTTCAAAATCATGTACTTTTCTGGAGACCTAAATTAATTTTTGAAATCATCATATATTATATGAAAGTATGTACTCTAAAGTAATTGTGCTTATGATCGAGCACAATACTCAATTAAGATTGTAAATATTCCTGTAAAACATTGACAACTTATTCAAACATTCAAAAATATTTTGATCAGAATCAGACATTTTCTTTTCAGTGTTATTTATTTGGAAGATAGACGTACTACATATAACCTATTATATGCAAATCATTGAACAGTTTGGTTGTTGCAATGATTTTAGAGTTGTTTATCATAACATCTTTCTAATTCGTTCGGATTTGCAATATTTATGTGTCTAACTTATTTAATGCATTTATTGTCCAACTTTTTGCACCATACATAATGCTTCGAAAATTCAAGATAAATATCATTTCTTGATTCTTCAACAATAATAAAACAGAATTGATATTGAGACAATATTGAGAAACATATCATTTGTCAAAATATTTCAGATGAGAAGAATCTGAATTCTATAATACTATAATACTCTTAGTCATTGTGAACTTTATTATTATGAAATCATATTGAAGTTTTCTTCTATATTATGATAATATGGAATCATTATTTATGAGAATCAATTTCTTATAGGTAACATATATTTAAATGTTAGTAACAAAAAAGTAGTAATTTAAAAAAATTTTGTTTCTTGATATTGGTATTCATACTTTTCTAAAAAAATTCGGACTTTTTCTTTTTCCTATTTCATTATAGTTGCTTTATTTGTTTT